CGGGGGCAACACTGAGGGTTGTGATCCGTTGCCGGACACGGAAAAAGACAAAAAGACAAAAAGAAAAAAAAGAAACAGTGACAAAAACTAGCCACAAAATAGTGACAGGAACTGGGGACACTTTATATTATTTTTCTTATATTATTTTATATTATTTTTCCTTTTATTTAACACTTAGATATTTTCACTTATTTTCCTATTAAATTGTGATCTCTTGTGTGCAAGACATGCTTCCTGTTCACCTCTCAATCACAGTCGCTAGAACAGAGCTGAGTCTGCAATAGGATAAGCCCCTTTCATTAAATAAATTCATTAACAAAGGAATAATTGTAAACCCTTTTAGAATTTAGAGAATGTGGTTATGGGCTTGTGTTGTTTTTCTGTGTCACCTTGCCTAGGAATAGCGAGATCATTCTTTAATATCCCTTAAATACACAGTTCTACCCTGGAGTTATTTATGTATTGCTGGAGCAGACATACACACATATGAACATTATGTGTTCTGACGGGCAGAGGTTAGACATAGATTTGCTCCTCTCACTCACTGCTAGACCTATAAACACTTGCTTGAGCTAGATGATTTGGGGGCTGATGTCGAATAACTCAATTTTCTAAACTACTAAATTATAAAAAAATTCCAAATTTAGAAAATTAAGCTATGTTAAACTTACAGTTGAAGTTCTTGGGCCAAAACAGTTGTTAAAATTGAAATTTTGCATGGACAAAATCCTTTCCAAGTTTTTAATTCAACAGTTCTTGCTATTAGGGAGAAAAAAAGGTATAGATGAGAACACTTGAAACCTCTTCAAATAGGATACCCTTGGGAACACAAATCGCCAAAATACTGGGTGACATGCTTGCAAATGCTCTTTCTGTATGTTTTGGGTTAATGAGCCAAGCATGGCATCCAGCAGAGCTCTACTTGTTAATAGAAGTTATCTGAGGGCCGGCCCGGTGGCGCACTGTAGCAGTGCGCCGCTTGGGAAGTGCGGCGGCGGTCCCGCCGAGGGTTCGGATCCCACATACAGACCGGCCGCTCACTGGCTGAGCGAGGAGCGGGGGCAACACCGAGGGTTGCGATCCCGTAGCCGGTCCCGGCCCGGTACGGGCGCGACACTGAGGGTTGCGATCCATTGCCGGTCACGAAAAAAGACAAAAAAAAAAAAAAGAAGTTATCTGAAACATTGTATCTCTGAATTGCCAAGATCCGATTTACTGAAAAAGACACTCTGGGTTAGCCTGGGCTAGACAGAGGTAAATAATAATGACATATATCTCCCAATTCTCATCATAGCTTTTGATATTCACCGAGTCATCCATCTGCAGACAGCAGATTTTTCACCAAGTGAAAGAGTCATTGCTTTAGTGTTATCTAGTTCAAATGCCTTTTAAACATATTTTTGAAGTGGAATAATTTCTTCAAATTTTATTTGGAACCCAATATGTTAAACAAATACAAGCCAAGTTACCAGTGTGTGCATCTACATGTGTTAAAGGATGCCTTCGCTTCCCCAATCCAGGCCCACAGCCTCTGTGGCATCTCCATAGAACCCTTAGGGTGTTTCAGAGCAAGGTTTGGAAATGATTATTTCAAACTTTTCATTGTGCTAATTAGGAAACTAGGGCCACATTACCACAATTTTAGTAGAATGGTGGGCTCCTATCTCTACTGTGATCTGAACAACAACTTTGTGGATGTGTAGGGAGGGCAAATTCTCATATACTTTGGGGGTATCAGAGGGCAATTTTGTGATGAATAAGGGCAAGGAAAGACTGGATTCATGTCTTACTACTCTGAACGCCGAACAAGACCTCTTGGAAGAAGTCACAAGGATTGAGATTTAGGTTCAAAAAAATCATCAAGTCTTCCAAAAATGGAACTCGGGTAACAGCTTTCTATTATACGGAGTGTTCAAATGAGTCTGGATGACCATTTGTCAGGATATCACAGGGGAAATAGAAAACTTCAATAGGCATTTGGACTAGTATCAGACGATTATTGAGCACCTGTGCAAGACATTGTAGGTCCTAAGTACATTAGATATTTTTTCTCTTTTCAAAAGTTACATGGCTTATTGGGGTAACAGATAAGTAAAACCAATAAAATATAGTATGATGAAATGCTAAAAAGATTAAGTATATTGGGTGTTGCAGGGTCATGAGAAAGGTCACTATTCTGAACCCCAGAAAAGAAGGTAAGTTGGATGCAGAGAAAGAAGTGTAAATGATTATACCCAGTGGGTGATGTTATCAGCCAACTATGTTTTGGCAGAAGTGAGAAGCTGAAAGGAGCAAAATTCCCTGCAATGGGTGGAATTCCACATTGCACAGAGGAAGAGGCTAATTGAGGGGTTGAGGAGAGGGAATAGAGTGAGTGAACAGTACTCGCCACTGACATAGTGGCAAGTACTGTTCTAGTTGCCAATGAC